GGAAGGTTGAATGGTCACGTTTCTCTCAAATATATACTTATTAGAAAGGCTTGATAAATTTTCTCTATAGAGTGTCTTCCAAGTAAGCCATGTTTTCCTCTGAACTTGAATGTTTTATTTTAATATGATTATTGGACTGAGTCAAATACAAATACTATCAAACCTAATTAAAGGTAAGTAGGTAACCACAACATTTTTGGTGTGACATTTGAGCTGGAAATTTCGTGAAAAAGGATACACGTAATGGGAAAAAGAGAGGCTCAGAAGAATGACATCCACTCATGGGGCTGGGCGGCCCAAATATTCATTACCTCTCCACTAATTAAATCAGATAGATCTATCAAAAAATAATAATAATAATAATAATAAAATAAGTAAGCCAGACATTGCTAAATTTGTGCCCGCATGACAGGGCCACTAAAGGATAGGCTATTCAACAACAATTAATATTTGAAATAAAAAATGCAAAGCAGATGAGATTGCCTTCGCTTGGGAAAAAATGTTTAGTAAGTGGATTAAAGGTTGAAGGGCAAATGGGATAAAAATATTTAAAAAGCTATTAATTAAGAACATCCAATAATTTAAAATGAAAAAAGTATATGAGTGACCATGAATTTTTATTGTTGTTATATTTGTGATCAAACCATTGATACTACTATGAAATAGTATCAAAATTAATAAAAACTAAATTTTACAGTAAAGCACAACTTGGATCGTCTTCCTAAGAGTTAATAGAGCAATTATTTGAATTATGGTTATGAAAAGGTAAATGATGGGGTTTTTTTATAATGAAATTAATTAAAAAATATAAATTAAAATTAGATAAATAAAGAAAATTCAACTGAAAAAATTATCAAGAACAAGTAGCATAATCAATCACAACCCAATCACTTAAACTTAATCTTCCTCGTCCACAAATTAAATCAATTTTATTTAACTTTATTATTTTAGTTTTATTATATATTTCTCAAATTATCATTCAAGAATTAAACAAGAAATTAAATTATAGATTAATTGAAATCTCCCTTGACCCACAACCTAATAACTGTTTCATGTTAGTCACACAAAAAACAAAGCATAAGTAATCACTCAAGCCAAGCCAAATTACTCTTAAATTACTATATCAATCGATTATAGCAAATAAAACCTTAGATAAAATTTATAACCCAAAAATTATGTAATAAAGTTACTCTAATCAACAATAGCAGCTAAAATATAAAATTTAGAGGTAGAGAGAAGAAGAAAAAATTATAATAAAGTTAAAATAAAATCTTTCTTAAATAGAAAAAACTCTAATTAAAATTTAAAATTATAATTTGTGACTGATCATATTAAAAAATAATTAGCTTTCCATAGGACTAAAAACCAAAAAGCAAAGTTGCCTCTGATTCTTTTTTTTCGTCCAAGTCTTGATTTATATATATATCTCCATTTGCGTCTCCTGTGCGGCGGCTAATGCAAAATTACTAATAATTTAATAAAATAATAAAATTATTCTAAATAATCTTAATTAAAAACTACACTAAAAAATTCAAAATAAATATAAACAAGGTTTTAAATATTTAATTTTTGATTTGATCTCTAAGCATGCCCATATTTTTCTTATCCAAAATATTTTCTATCAATATCTTTCAAATTGAATCTAAAAAATCTGCACAAATAAAATAAAATTAAATAGCACCTGTGCAAAAATATTAAAGATATTATTTATATTTTAAAATCAAAGATTTAGTTAGTTAAAATCTCAAAACTAAATATTGGCTAATAAAATTAAATAATATCTAATTAAACTCAATTAGCTTCAAATAAATATTTAAAAGTCTAAATTAAAAGGATAAAAATATATAAAATTACTATTTATCAACCATTAACTTTTAGAAATGGTTTAATCACATATGCATGAAAAAATAACTTCATAGACGTTTGTGTATCTTTTTCTTATTTTAGATTGCTGGATGCTTTAGTTAATAATTTTTTGAATATTTTTGCTGCTTTGCCCAAGGTTAATTTGTGATGGATTCTTGTATGCATGTAAATCGAAAGTAAGGACTAAGATTGGTGGGCCACTCATTGGAGCTCATTTCTATAAAGATTTAGACTTAAAAAATTAGCTATTTTTAGAAAAATTGAGTTTTAAAGTCTGACTTTGATGAGTCTAACAAGAGGGGCTTGGACTCAGATAACCCATCAAGCTGGCTTCTCTCTTATTTTTTTCCCCTTCATGTGTTGTCTAAAATGCACCATTTTCTTATGAAGAAAACCTTAACCTAAGCCACTCTCATTCTCACTTGACTTACGCATGCACGCCAGCTCTTGCCTCTCTTCTTCCCTTGGCCAGCTTGGTATCTTCTTGGTGCACAACTGTAGTCTCGCCTGTCGACTAATCCTCCTTCTCCTCCATGTCTCTATCACGCATGGCAAACTGCTCACAATTCAGGTGCTCGATCTTACATATGGATTGCTTGTGACGGCAAGTTGCTTTAGGTGTTTGCTCTTTGACTTACGACGTTCACGATTCAAGTCTTTGCTTTAGCCTTCAAGTACCTCTGTCTCTCTAATTCAAGTTTATCTGCCTCTTTGATCTTACACATGGGTTGATGGGATAGATCTAAAGAAGATCGAGGAGACAGTGCAGCAACTCAGGTCTTAGAGTGAGTGATGAATTTTAATGGCTTAAGGTACGGGGATGTATTTATCTGTTGGTAAATTGGGAGACAAGCTATTTCTAGTAATATCTGTCCTGTCAATGTTTCGAGTTTGGTTATCTTTCTTTCTCTAAATGCAAGTAAGTTGTTTTGTTGGCTGCTTCCTTCTAAAGTTGAATTTATCTTACTAAGTTGTGCATTTAGTTCTTAAAACATGCTTTGTTACTTAATGAAGCTATTTGCATTTCAATTTTTTAATTAAACAAACTTAACAAAAGTTAACACTGCAGAGTGGCTAGTCTCAATACAGGTTATATAAATTATAGTCCCGATATTAATAAGGATAAAGTAATAAAATCTTGCAAATATTTGTGTACGTTATATGTTCTATCTAAGTTCTGAAACTTCTCACCTCAAGGTTTGTAAATGTAGAGGAAAAGGCAAGATCAAAATGTTCAAATCTTTACGAGTAGTTAGTAATTTCATGTCATTAATAGTGAAAACTTGATATACATTTTACATTTATATTATTTATGTAGACCGGCTATTTTACTCTTATCATATATATGGTAGGTGATACTTTTAAAATTAATCTAGACTTCTAAATATATGATGTTTATTTTCTATAAGATTATAGAAATATTGATTCACTTATCAGGATATTTTACTCTTATTTATTAAAAATAATTCATGTTCAATTAAAGCAACAATCGTTACAAAAGTGACTTAATTACCTCTTAATAGATTAAGTTGCATTTAGTTAAAGTTAAATTAGTTGTTGCTTGATTTTAATCTTTTAATTAAACCATTAAGCTATGATTAACGTTATCATGCATCTCTAAATTATTTATAATATAGTTATTTACGATTGCTTTCCTAAGTCCAAGCTCTCTTTTCTCCTTTCAGTTCATCAAGTAAGCCCACAGAGAGAGATGTGTTGGCTAGATATAAACTCAAAATTGATGAATAAGAAAAGGTAAATAAAATTGAATAACTACTTTTAAAGCATCTTAGAACAATAAATTCATAACAATAGAGACCAAAATCAAGATAGGAAAAGAATAAAAAAATCTCAATTAGGCTACTCCTTACCTTGATTAGGAATTTAGAAACCAAACATAAATTTAGCAATACCAATTTCTAAATCCATTAAACTACTGAGAAAAAAAAGCAAGAGATGAGTACAAAAAATCACTCCTAAATTAATTAGATCAACCTCCTGCTTTGTACTCAGCCTTTCAGATTGCGTTTTTGTCAGAGTGTCTTTTTCTTACATGTTACTAGGGAGCCTTTCACCCACCAAGAAGCCATAAACAGGGTGTTTTATATCTCTTTTAAAGTAAATCTGATGGTTCAAATTGTCTAATAAAAAATGGACTCCCACATGTCAAAACCCGTTATTTATGCACGATCGTGTGTAGTACATTATTGTCTGATCGTGGACGAGAGGTGAGGCTAGAGACATTCATGTTTTTGTCTTGTTCGTGTGCGAATATCCTTTTCGGTGCCATTCTGTTGCAAAAAGTTTCTTGAATTTTCTACTTATCTGCTCGTGGTTGTGTTATTTGATAGTTCATCCGCCTCTGGTTGAAAGCTTTTAAACTTTAATAAATAAAAAATTTGCATTAAAAAATTGTAATTAATTGTTTTATTTAAGTCATTACAAAAAAAGGTAGTCATTACTTAAATTAAATTAGTTACTGATATTTAATTTTTTGAGGCTAGAATTGTTACTTTTTTAAAATTTAAATTGGAGGTATTTTAATTATTTTTAAAAAATTATTAATTATTAATGTAAGAAAAGTCTATAAGAATTCAAGAAGAATTATAAAATTTTGCAGGATTTCAATTTTTTATTGATATTTTTTAAAATTTAAAAAACTAAACAAATTTACATTAATCATACAAATCAAAATTATCAAAGGTCTCAAACTCATTTTTTATATAATGCTTGCTTTTAATTTTTAAAAACAGTTTAATCTAACTCCTAATATTAATAAAATTTAATTTTAATTATTAATTAACTAAAAAATGATAGAAAATCTCAAAAATCAAAAAAATCAAAAAATTATAATAAAGAATTGAAAAATTACTAACAAGGACTTTAAGAAATTAGAGATAAAGGGTCGAAAATATTTTAATTATCTTTTTTTAAATTTTGAAATTATTTATTATCAATTAGTATTAACGACTTAAGTCAGATTTCACTGTTAAAAAATTAAAGGAAATATTGCCCAAAAAACTTTGTTTAGCTTGCTGTGCGACTTATACCTAAAATTAAATAATTAAATGTATATTATCCCAAAATAAAAAATAACAATAATAATCCGAGCTTACTGTAGCTAGGGCTTCAGTACTTCACTCGCAATTGTTCACGGAGGTGCCGATAGCTGCGAAAGAAAGGGGGGAGAGAGAGAGAGAGAGATGGGAAGAGAAAGGGAGGTGCCGAAGCAGCAACAAGAGGTGGGATACGCGGTGGAGCAGCTTGTCGCTGTTAATCGCTATAATCCTGACATCCTTCCTGATCTCGAAAACTATGTTAACGAGCAGGTACTCGACAATTTTTGGTCTTTGATTTTTTTTTTTTATTCTTACGGTTGTCCCTTTTTAATTGGGTTTGGATTAATAGAGATGGGAATTTCTTTATATGTGCATGGGGATTCCTATGAATCCACATAACATTTTTTGTCAGCATGATTGTTGAATCAATTTTTTGAAATGCATTACTTCTGATCAGGCGCGTAAATTTTATGTGTCTTCCCCTCTTTTTCTCCATAGGAGAATGGGGAGATGCTGTGCTTATTCACCGAACAACCAAAGCAACCTAAACATAGCAACAAAATGAATCCAGAGACTTGGAAACATATTAAAGTTTTAGTAATTAGCCAGTTATGAAACGGAATGGTCTCGGCAAGCGCAACTGTTGAAATATCCAAGATTTTTATTCGCGGGATTAATGGGGAGAAACACCTTATTATTTTTATTTTTTATTTTTTTAACCACGCATGTTGTTTCAACTTCTTTGATGATGTCGCTTTTCTCAGTCCCAAATGCCAATAGCACTGAGGATGTGATTGGGGGGTAAATTTGAGAATGAGAAGGTACACAATAGGGGAGCGTGGAACTTTTGGCATTGCAAGGCTGAAAATTTTTTTTATTTATCTTGCTTGTTTACAGTGAAAACAAAATGGAACGGATCATTGTATTCTCATTCTCAACTCTCTCTGTACACTCGGTTACATGAATTGTATGTGGCTCTATCATCAACTAAGTTTTTAAGAATATTATTAATTAAGAGGTGTTGTTCAACAATTTCTACAAGCATTTATTTTGTCTTTCTCTACTTTTTTTTATCAGGCTCAAGATTATCCATTACACTTTCTTCACTAGTGCCTCCCATGGTCCTCTTTGTACATGTCTAAACTATCTCAATTTTCAAATGATTTTTTATCATTTTTCTCTCAATAGATGACACGCCTACTTGCACATCTGTTTCAACATTTTTATCTTTATCACTCCAACTTTATGCTCTTGTCCTTTAAAGTCCAACATTCTCTACCATATAAGTGTTTATTTTGTTTTCTTCTACTTTTCTTTATAGGGTTCAAAATTATCCGTTATACCTTCACCAGTGCCTCCCACAACATTCTTTTTACATGTCTAAACTATCTCACTTCTTAAATGATTTTCTACTATTTTTTCCTTAATAGATGACATGCCCACTTGCACATCTATTTCAACGTTCTTATCTTCATCACTCCAACTTTATGCTCCTGTCCTTTAAAGCCTAATATTCACTACTCTATAACATTGTTGGTCTTAGAGTAGTTCGGTAAAACTTCCCTTCAAGTTTATATATACACAAATAACTCCTTCAGTCTTTCTCCATTTAAGCCACTTAGCTTGCATCTTATATGCAACATTCCCTTTAATTTTCCCATCATGTTAAATAACTGCTCCCTTGTTGAACGTGATCTCTTAATTAATAATATTTCTAAAAGCTTAATAAATGATAGAGCACAATGGCGTCTTGCAATCCATGTAGCCGACCCCACCTAGTGGGATAAAGGCTTGTTGTTGTTGTTGTTGTTGTTAAATAACTGCTCCCAAATATCTAAATTTTTTCACTTGTGTATATATAATATTAAAATTTCCTATAAGACATCTATTAACAGTTCTGCTGCTCCAGGCAAATGCATTGGAAAACATGTATAATTTCATATATTTCTAGAATAGCCATCAGTGTAAAATTGTAAAAATGTACGTATTCTTTTGGACTGTTTATATGCCATTTTCCCTTAAGTTTATAACATAAATTTCTCCTCCCATGTACGATAAAACATGTAAACAGCTACCCCAGTTTCTTTTTCATCCCACCAGTTTACAACCTAATTGGTAGTTTGTAGGTTTATCTTGTGAGCTCGATGCCTGTATGCCAACTTAACTGTTTATTCTGTATCTATCTTAAACCAGGTTTCATCACAAACATACAGCTTGGATGCAAATCTATGCCTTCTTCGCCTCTATCAGGTATTTTGCAAGCATCCTAATGAGAGGAGTAGGCAGGCACTTATCTCACCCTAGGAGGAAGTCCAGTTCTTCTCTGTCACCAAACATTATTTTCTTTTGCAAATAGTAATCATTGTGGCTATTTTAATTGCTTCTTTTCCTCCTTTTCCTTCTTGTTCTCTCAGTTTTGGCTGTAAGATCACTGTTTGCTCAAACTCACAATGCTGAGGAGTTTACTGATAACTTTTTCTATCATTACAGTTTGAACCTGAGAGAATGAGTTCCCAGATCGTAGCTCGCATATTGGTTAAGGTGGATTTAGCAATTTATGGCTGTATTTTTTCTTTTTACGAAAAGGAGGAATATGCATGACCAGTGGATTGAACACATGTTTGACATTTTGCTTTCTTTTCTTGAGCAGGCCCTCATGGCAATGCCGGCTCCAGACTTCAGCCTTTGTCTCTTTCTGATTCCAGAACGTGTGGTATTATTCTCTCAAATCATTCTTTTCTCTGTTCTTGTCAGGATCACAAAATAGTTTGTTTTAATAATTATTTATTATGATTCTTAGCAAATGGAGGAGCAATTCAAGACACTGATCGTTTTATCGCACTATTTGGAGGTATGAATTGGGTCTCATTACCCAATCGTTTGCCCAAAAGTTAAGCATTAATCTATTTCTTCATTCACCAGACAGGAAGATTTCGCCAGTTTTGGGATGAAGCAGCAAAGAATCGTGATATAGTTGAAGCTGTGCCAGGTGATGAGAGACCCTAACATATGAAAAGATAATTTGTTTTTCATTGTTGACGGTTGAAACTGATAGAGCGTTCAGCTTCTGCTTTTTCCTTTTGTACATATGCTTTTGTATAGTAGTCTGAAAAGCTATCAACTGCAGGTTTTGAGCAAGCAATTCAAGGTTATGCAATTCATGTCCTCTCGTTAACTTACCAAAAAGTTCCTAGATCTGTGCTGGCTGAGGTGGGTTGTGATTTGTTCATTTGAACCTTTAATTTAATACTGGAATTTGCTTTGTTCTTGTTAGTAGCTGCTGTCACATGGCTCAGTTCATTTTTGCTCATTTTGACTCACTTATATTTGATGAGGTGTATCATTAATTCATTTTTCTCCTTGTTAACAAAACCATATGATCAAATCCGATTGAAATAGTTTTTATTTTTATTTTTTTATTTTTTGGGGGGGGGGGGGTTGGGTTGCCGCTCAGGGTTCTGTCTAAATTGATTGTTTTTCTGATTTAGACTCTATTTCAGCATGAAAGATGGCATTATTTTCTCATTACTCAAGTATAAAACAATTAATCACGTGTCAAACTCTCACAGGCCATCAACATAGAAGGCTTGGCCTTAGACAAATTCCTTGAACACCAGGTAGCCAACAGTGGTTGGGTCATTGAGAAAGGCCACGGCAAGGGTCAGCTCATTGTCCTACCAAGAAATGAATTCAATGACCCAGCATCGAAGAAAAACACTGCAGACACAGTGCCATTGGAGCACATTACACGTATTTTCCCTATTCTGGGCTGACGTATCTGTGGACCTGGCCGAAGACACAAATCAAACTCTATTGAGCAGTTTTCAGGGGTTTTAGTTCTCCATTTACTGGCCCTTGCCGCTGCTACTCCCTCTGGATGCCTCCTGATTTTCTTTCCGGATGGAGATTGTTGAATGAAATTAGTTGGGGCTACATCTTGCTGTCGCTTTTCCTTTTTGATGCTTCAGTTTGGTGATAGGGGACAGCTGTTTGTCACTGGTCAAGAATTAATTTAAGTTGTTATACTAATGGATTATTGTACTTAAAGAACGATTCATGATTCATTCAACGGTTGTCAGGTCTGCTTAGTCGATAGTTTCCCTAGTGACAAATTGGGTCTGTGGATGAACTCAATACCGAGTGTTGGTGCTGCCATGAGGAGGTCGAGAAAAAATATATATGCAGTTTTATGGTTATAATTCAACTACTAATGCAACGTATCTCTTAAAATCAGCAATTTTGGAAGTCCTTAACATCCATATGATAATTAGATCTGGAAATTTGTCTTGGCCTAGAAGAGTGCACCCGCTTTTACGAATGCCAATTCAAGCAATGGGGACAACAATTTAATTTGATGATGTTGACTTGTCGATTGTGCATTTTAAACTCCAAGGCAAGGCATAAACGGCCGTTCGTTCTCCTTTTTAGGCAACGTCAAGTTTAGCCAAGGGAAGTCTTCGACATCTTAAGCGATGGGAGTCTTTTTAAGCCAGACAAATCTTTCTTTGGACGATTAAATGTAATCCTGTCAATGGATTCATTATATTACTCTTCAGATACATCTTCAGTCGTAACTTGTTTTCTGATATAAATTTGAGTTGGGATTCCACAATGTTGCAAGGTCATGGGTGGCAGAACGAAAACAAATGGAAATAAAGTGAGAAAAAGGCGAAATAAAATTAAATAGTCTTATTTGGTTTAGTTATATACTTCTCTATCTATATGTTTGATATAATAAAAGCACTCCAAAGAATTTCCCAAGAATAAGAAAATGTTTTGCATTTGATCATATAACTTCCAATGTAAATTATGTTTTTGAAAATCAAAACTTCATTTACCAATACAAAAATGATAAAAACATGTTAATAAAATTTTTTTTGATGGTGAAAATAGTTAGAATATATCACCGAGAGAGAAATAATATTTTTCCTTATCATTCCCACATTAGCACGATACAATTCCATCCAGTTTCACATTTAGTGCTTGTTACAATGATAAGTACCATTTGTTCATAAAATCTAGACTCTTCAAAATTTATTTGAATGGTCCATATTTAACATTTTTAATTTTGAAATGATAAGTTCATGCTTTTGAAGAAATTTGTATTTAAGATCTGCTAAAATAATAAAATATTAAAAAAATATAATAAAATATAAACCATCCAACGTTATACTGGATAGTCCAGACTTGAGCACCCCATGAGCAGCGAACGTGCTCCGGATTCGATCAATACTGGATGGATACATTTTTTGAAATGTTTGACGTTAAATTCTAATTTATCACACCTTAGCAACATGATATATATATTTTTTAATAAAAACATTACATCAGTCGAACAGGAGAGTAAGTTTGAAGGAATTAATCATTCCCACTCTTCAAGCAAGAAATAGCTCAAATATCACTGCCATAGGTAAAACCCAGAAAGCAGTTACAGAAAGTAATATTATTTAAAAGAATCGATTATCTGCAAATCTAAAAAGTAGAGCTCCAACGGGCATGGTTTATATTTACAAAAGTGCACCTACGAAGATCGTTAACCGGTTAACAGAGGATGAAAACTGAAACGATGATCTCCAGCAAAGAATAAAAAGGAGAGAATTTGTACAACCCTTTGCTATTTACTCAGCTCTACCATGTTTTCATATTTAAATTGAGATTTTTCACAATAGAGTTAATGCTGCAATCAATAGACTAAGCCTTGAGGATTTCTTTTGAGACCAGCATCTTACAGTCACAGAGAAGTCAACTTGAACGCCCCTGTTTCTTTCTTTCCTTTAAGGCTCTAACCGCTTCCTCATCATAAACTGTCTCTATTCTCTACTTAGCAGCCTCTTTTGATCAAACCCAAGTCAACTAGATGTAAATTATATATTAGTGCAAATGATCATTGTGCCAAAATTCAATGGCAAAGGGTCTGTCCATAAGTCACCCACCGTACAAAACTATCTGGAAATTCCTCTGTAACATTGGACCGTGAATTACCATATGATAACTCTGATCGAGTTTGCTCCCTTCCCTGAGAACATTAAGCGGAATTAGCTTTTCACATAAAGATGAAGTCAATACGAGAGACTTCAACTATTGTGGAACATGTTCTTACTTCGCACATACATGAACATAAACCTCAGGCACATTTTAAAAATAGTGACAAAAGAAAGTTTCCTTTTCTTCCTCATCCCAAGCCACAAAAATTAAAATAATGCAGAGTGAACCGAGACCCATGAAGGTAAGGAAGATCTATTATGGCACCAGTAACTAACTAGGAAAAATTTAGAACCTGTCCGTACAATATTGTACTATACCTTTGAGTTGGAACCACATTCACTGGAGGAAGGAGTTGTTTCTCCCATCATTCCATTGACATTGTCTGACGAACGCCCGGCTGCAGGGGAGTTGGTAATTGATGACCTGCAGCCATACATATAGGTCTTCAAATAATACACGGGGACACTTCGGAAAACATGAGGTACGGTTCAAGAAACAAGCGCATCATAATTGCAAACAGACACCCACGAATAATTATCATTTTCAATTACATTACTAACCTCTCGTACGGATCTTCCTCACATGAATTTCCTGAAGAAGAAAGCCAATCCAGGTCAACAAAGTTGGAGCAACTCAAGGAATCCCCACGGTCAGAATAGTAAATATGATCACCTTCAAGGCAGCGCTCCTTTTGCATGCCTCCAAAAAATTGTCTCTGAGGCGTTGAGGGAGTATGCCTACACAAATACACACAATAGTAGAAGAAATCACAAGCTGATTAGACAGCCAAAATGAAACAGCAACTAACTGAATGTGTCATCATGCAAACGGGCACTGAGTTTTTAACTTGTATTAGCATGGCATACAAGGCGATTAACCATTTTGATTACTAATTGCATGTTTTGTTATTGGCAAACTGCACACACATAATCACAGCAGAGGATACTGAAAAGAGGGCCTTTTATCTTAAACTAGGTTTCCACACACATAATCCAGGAAGGTCTGCCACGCGAAGACATCAATTTCAGTACAATATGATAACTACAGTAAAAATGAGAGAAAATAAAATCGACATTTTAATCTCATCAAGCATACTTTGACATGAATTACAAATTTGCATACACATTAATACAGAGTGCAGACCTATAAAAGGCTACGTCACCCTCAGAAGTTATTTCAGGAGAAGACTCGGAATGAGCGTTGTTTCCTTCTGATCCGTGAGGCAAAATTGGTCTAGAGAAATTTTCCTGCTTGGGACTTGAAGTTGGCATAGATGTAGAACTGCCATGAAGAATGCTCCCATCTGACAAGGATCTCTTGAAAAATGACCTAAAATACCAAATTTCAATGTTACTGTACAAGTTGCATCAACAAGCAACTTTGATATACATGCTTCATGACATCATGATGTCTTGAGGAAGTTCATAACGAGTTCAGAAATAATCAGCAATTCTATGAATCATGCCATTTATAAGCCCTTGTTTGCTCTCCTTCTCCCTCTTGACAGAAGATAACAGACCATGGCACATTAACTTCTGCTCATACCCTATGCAAGCTTTTCACACCTAAATTCTAGGATTTGAAGACTATCAGCACTCCTCCATCTCAGACAACAAAAGGAAATTAGAAGCCTATCTCCAAAATTACCATGGGTAAGTTTGAAATTGACATAACGGATTCTAGCTGGTCTTCTATACTATAATGTTCCCTTTGATCTTTAATATAAGTTACCTTTAACTACTTCACCAAAACCCAAAAAGTTGATTACATAATTAAAATTTGCTTTGGTTTCCATTTTTCCAATAATAAATACCATGAATTTGAAAAACATATACTCGCTCTATTCCCTCATGGGAAATTGACAAGAAGGGCCATTTTGAAATAAAGCAATTTATACTCCACAAACTCTTGGCAAATGACTTATACTTAGGACCATAAAACTCAAAGAAAGAAACCACTATAAAGGACCAGAGGGAGTGCAAATAAGATGTAAAAGAAATAATTTTCACATGTATTGTGTTACATGGGATTAGTGGATTGGATTGCTAGAAGTCGTCAGAGAATAAGAGCGAGGAGCCTGTTAGTTTGATATTACTGTCAGAAATGGTGCGTCTTGCATTGGACTTTATGCCTCTCTTTACTTTATCATTCCATTTTATCTTTATCTATTCTCTCTACTTCCTCACCATTTGAATTTGATTTTAAAATTTCTCACCCGGAATTCTCTTCAAATCAATACATCTTTCAGTCAAAAAGTTTCTATCAAGTTATTGTCTATCTGTGCATTATACAAGAAAAAATCTCGTCAAAGATAAAAAGATAAAAAATATACTAATAATATCTATTTCTCCAATCATTTGAAAAGGTGCAATCAAGATTATAAATCCAAAACTTCTTTCATTCAGGACAATAATTACCAATGTTGATAGTGTCAATAGTCATAATTTGGGTACTCTTTCTTCACATAAGCTGAGTTTTTCATTTCCCCAATTCTAAGAAAACACCGAATGCAGTAAAATACATATCCATGGCAAAGAAGCCCTGGGAAACTCAAGAAAGGAAGGCATCTTCACTGGCATTGGGAGGCATGGACAACTATATTTGAACATTTAAACACCACAAATATTTGATAGAACAATTTCAGGTAGTGAGAAACATGAAGGATCCTTTACATTCTCGGATGCTATACTTATCTTTCTAGTGTTCACGTCTTGTGCCCCCAAAACAAGCAAACTGGGCGACTCTAAGCTTCAGAAAAGGCAAAGATATTACCATGATAAAGGGGTAAAAAACATTTGGAATAGCTTAAGTACATCCATGAGACAGACGAAAAGTCAAAGTGTGTCATGTAAAAGCCTCAAGCTTATTGGATGATCAACCTACTCATTATTTCCTTGTTTGCATCCCCTAAAATAAATCCCGTGCCCCAAAAAGACGAGTTTTGTCGTTGATTCATAGCCTAGAGTTTAAAATGAAATTAGACAAACTACTATCATGCTAGACACGCTAATGGCAAACCACATCAAAAGGAAGCAATAACTAAACATGCCAATTAAGTGAAAAAGCCTGCTTAGAAATTTTTAAGATTGCCATTCCATTTTCAGAAGAAAAACATGTAAACTAGATTCAAATACCTTCCACCTTCTCCCTGTTTCCGTGAGTCATAGTGCTGATCTGAATCTAACTCCCACAGAGCAGGCTTACCATGTTGCGGCTGAA